AATGGAGGTCACCTCTGTGTTCCTCTCACCCACCCCTATAACATGCAACAAACCGTTTTGAAAAAGCGCTCCACGTCCTAACATCTTCCTTGTTAGCAACGGCATCTGAGAGGGCACTTGATATGTTAGCCCACAAAAGGATTCAAAGCAGGAACATTACTTCGATGACGAAGAATGCCAATAGAAAACGGGAAATGGGTTGAGCCTATGTATGATCGGAGGCTAGCAGTATGGTGAACCGTCCATTGTTCCAATTCCAAAAAATCTAAGACCACCGCCACCCCCTCCCCTCTTATAGAGGTAATCTCGATACGACGCCATCAGCCTTACCACGAAAGTCTACCAGGACTTTCCTGGTAAGGCTGATGGCGTCGTATCGAGCGATATGGAGCGCTTTTTTGAAACTGTCTTTTGCATGCTAATTTGACGCGTGCGTGGTGCACAAAACTGAGAATGATTTTTTTTCAAAGCGGTTCTAGGAATGCTATAAGACAAGTCGGAACTTGGAACCAAAGCTTTTGGTTCGATCCCCACTGGAGACAAACTTTTGCATTTCTTTGATTTCCACATTACTGAGCTCACATATGTCTTAACTTATCCACTGAACAAGAAATTTTTATTTATTTTATTTATTTATTTATTTATTTGACATGTTGTGAACAACATGTGAACACAGTAAAAACTCAAAACAAAACACATACAAAACAAACAAGTAAATCAATCAAACAGTGAGGTCATATATACTCGCCGACGTGCTTTTTGAAGGTTGAATTTTTCAGTGGGAACATATTAGAACGTAAAAGGGAGTTAAAACATGTTCGTACCTGTGACTGAAAAACTTTGACCTGCATTGAGTCCTAGCTGTAGATGTCGATAAATCATTATAGAGGCTCCTCTAACTGTGTATAATCCCGGTCAGCATCAAACAAAGTCCAAAAGCCATTCCCCCTCTTTGACAAAACTTTTTTTTAAGATTCTTTAAGGCCATATTGAGCTATATCATTTCCTTTCTCGCCTCCACGTCAATTGTTTTAATGCCGCAGGTATGCGCATTCCTTCAACCAGGGTGATGCTCAGCATATGAAACGCCCGAGCATCTAAGCAACAATTTAACGCGTGAAGTTATTTTGCACGCTCTCAAGAGCCTTAATGTCTTTCCTATTGTAGGGATTGAACACAGACGACCCATACTCTAAAATGGGGCGCACATAGAGTTTATATGCCATGCGTGCAGAAGAAGACGTCCTGATCTCTAGACCGAAGAGCTTTGAACAAATTGAAAGTACGTCGATTACCTTTCAAAACCATCATTTTGTAATGTTTGTTAAAATTTAACCGATAATCGTAGTAATATCCGAGATCGCGGACTTCTGAAACTGCTCTTAGGGTCTGATTATCCACCATGTAAACAGGGCTAACGGAATGGGAACCAATACGCATAACCTGAGTTTTGTCGGTCGACAAGCAGAGCCCATTAGCAGTGGCCCAGCCAACAATTCTATCTATTGCCTGCTGAACAACCGCGTCGGAAACGAAATCATTAACTACCCTAGAGATTTTTATATCATCTGCATACATACTGCAATAAACATCAAGATCTTGTATGCATTGAGGGAGATCAGCAGTATAGATATTGAACAGAACAGGTGAGAGAACTCCACCCTGAGGTACACCACTAGTAGCAACTTTTACACTCGAAAGAGAATCACCAACGAGGACCTGGAACGTCCTATTATCAAGAAAATCCTCTATCCAATTCACAACCAAAGGGTGCACACCGATGTGCTTCAATTTATGGATCAAAATTCGATGCGACACTTTGTCAAATGCCTTACTAAAATCAAAAAAGACTACATCTACATTCTTTTCAAATCGATAGCATTTGACCACTTATTCATGCAACATAACAGAGCCGTTTCAGTGGACTTGCCAGGGCAAAAGCCGTGCTGTGATGGAGGGATGATATTATGTTTGTCTAAGATGAGCTAATAAGAATACTGTTTAATAACTTTTTCAAAGGTCCGAGCAGAAAGGCTACTGTTCTACACTTCGAATGCTGTAGAGTTTACTGAAAATGGAAATGTTTCACTTCCCCAGAAAAACTTTATGTCCTTTTTTGGCAATCCCAGGGTCGCTCAATAAACAGTTTTATGCTCTACCATGCCCAATAACATGCAACAAAGCGTTTTGAAAAAAAAACGCTCCATGTCCTGAAAGACTTTCCTGGTTAGGAGAGTCTCCCAACACGACCCCCATCCCCACCCCCGACCATCACCCTCACTCCATAGCTTTTCTACAGCATTCGATTCTAAGACTAGTCGACAAGCTCCAGCTCGATCTACTTTTTTCATTTTTTGCTCCAAATGATCATCGAGGAAGTGGGGGGTGGGGGCAGGGGGTGGGACAAGGTATACTTAGCTAATGTTCCAATTTCATCTATCTTGCGCTTCTTTCTGAGCTTCACACTAAAATCGTCAAAACCCCCATCAGACATAACCTCTTCAAATTCTTTCCGACTGTAAGGATTTTTGCCTTTTTTGACCCCAAATCTCTAGTATGTATGCATATCTCAGCTCAGACACAAAAATTACATTCTACCCCTGCTTGCCAGCAATTAGTTCAACAACAAACAACAATAGTTAAACATTTCCGTCGATGGAAGTACTGGTGTTTTAGAGGCTGTGAAGTCGGCGAACTCTCTTCAAGGAGGCTATACAGACGGTTGAAAAAGGGGCAGCAAATAGGAGAGAAGTCTAGTAAGTAAGGCTGATGTGGCAGGGCTCAGCGCCCTAACTATATCACTTTTTGAAGGGTCTATTTTTCGGTCAGCGTCTGAGGCACATCGCGGAGAGGAGTCGGCTTGTTAATGGCAGTCCTTGTTGAGCGCATCTGTCACGTCGGGGTATTTTGGGCACCCTCGAATAATTTTTTCCACTTTAACAGTTCCCCCTGTGCTCAAAGAACTGCGCGTGCTGCAGACCTCGTGACAAGCAGCACAAGCTTCTTCTGTGCAGTTTCACCTTTGCGAAGATTTGTCGACCATTACCGAATATAGCCGATATTTATAGATTGTGCTTACCAGGAAAGGATGATTGGTCGAAGTGGCCATATGTAAAGAGACCTACACCACTGGATGCGTTTTTGGACGCTGATCTCGAATCTGCTTTCCAAATCTGCCAAACGATTTTCCGAACGGAGTTATGAAGGAAAGTAGTGCAGCGGTAGTGTCCGGGCTCACGGCGAGAGGTCGTGGGATCGATTCCCTGGCGGGTTCCCTTTTTTGCCTTCGCTGCAAAATGAAGAAAAGGCTCTTG